AGCTCACACAGAGATTTCCCGAGATTTCCAAAAGATTGAAAAATCTCTATGGATGACAATGAGCACTTCCAAAGAAAGTGGGACATTGTTATTATATTATTATTATACAGGATTTATATAGCGCTACAGTTTACACAGCGCTTTACAATATAAGGGAGACAGTACAATTACAATACAGTTCCATACAGAAGATTTTGGTGGGCCCTGTTCATGCAGCTTACAATATAAAGGGACAGGGAGGTGGTAAAAAAGGTGATAGTTGTGGGGGATGATCTGATGGAAGTGACTCAAGTGCAGTTCTTAGGTGGAGGTGGGGTAGGCTTACCTGAATAAATGAGTTTTCAAGGATCATCTAAAAGCAGACAGGGTAGGAGCTAACCAAACATACTGGGGCAGGGAGTTCAGAGGATTGGAGAGGCTCTGGAGAAGTCCTGGAGGTGAGCATGGAAGGAGGTAATAAGGGAACTGGACAGCAAGAGGTCTTGGGAGGAGCGGAGATCACAGTTTACTTGATTATCCCAAGCGATAATTAGGAGCATATCTCTCTATAATAAACTTATGGCAAGCACCTGAATACACAGTTCTAAAACATATATGTTTACTATTTTACCTGCCAAAGGATTTGTAATTCTGTACAGCCAGTTTTGTGATTTACACACATGGAGCTCCTGACTAAGCAATCCATCTTCTTTTAGCAATTCAGTTTCCTGTGTCACCTATCTGCCTCCAGCCTTCTCAATAAAAAGAAAATCAGCATCATTATTACCACTGTCCAATGAGCTGGAAGCAGATCCAAGAAGCAATAATTCCAAACTAGAAAGTAGCAATATGATATTACTGGCAGATCAAATGTGTGTATATCACAGGAATAGTTGTCCAAAATGACCAACCTATTGACAGTTAACACAGTAAATACACATGTGTTTACTTCATATTCAAGTGGTTGTAAACATCTGACATGAAATTTGAAGGAAGAAGATCCCTCTATAGTTTGTACTTGTCTTAATCCAGAGTACTAAGTGTCATTTCTGTCTGTTGACTCATTCCTGTGCTATCTGCATGATATATATATATATAATATATATATATATATATATATATATATATATATATACATACACAAACACGAAGGGCATTCAAGTCAAACCAGGACTTCTTATTTTCCAGGTATAAAAAGGGATGCTAGCGTGGTGGTACTACATGCAGTAGTAAGTGGCAAGTGTTTCCTATTACTGATACACAGCACACATGTCATGGGCCAGTAACCAGAGACCATTAATCAAGATGGCAGACAACAGTGTTAGAGTGTGCATGGAGCAGGGGATTTTCTTTACCAGGGTGCCACTATCAACAGTGAATATTACTGTCATGTTCTGAGTGATGTGCATACGTGTCTGTGGAAAATAAATGGCCTAGTTTGATCACTAAGGGCATCCTGTTTCTCCAGGACAACGCACGAGCTCATACTGCTCATCACGCTATTGCACATTACAGCAACTCGGCTGGGAGGCATTGCCACATCCCCTTTACAGCCCGAACCTCGCTCCGAGTGATTTCCACCTGCTTGAACCCCTAAAATAGTTCCTCAGAGATCAACATTTCAGCACTAATAAAGAAGTGATGCAGGATAGGATGGTTCAGGTGTACTGACAAATCTTTCTATGCTGAAGCTTTGCAGGCATTAGTTAAATGCTGGGATAAGTATATAAATGTAGCAGGGGAGTATGTAAAAAAATAAATGCAGTCCAGCCTTCTGAACCTTTTTACCCCAGAGGAACCCTTATTATGGTTTTCAGGTCTCGAGGAACCCTTACTAAAACCAACTCATTGAGGGGCAATGGCAAACCTTATAGAGGTGGTCAAAATACCAACTTTACAGACAGCTAAAATGATAATTGGTATCATGCTGCTGGCTCTGCCACATGACATTGGCCCTGTATTTATGCAAGCACCATCAAATGGGAGGTCAATCAGCCACAGCTCAAGGAGCTCCTGACAACCTCTGAAGGATCCCTAGAGTTCTATGGAACCTTGGTTGAGAATAGCTGATGTAAATTGTTACAAGTTTGTAATTTTTTTTTCAGTTTCTGAGTTATGAAAGTTGAGGTGTAAGCAGTAGTCAATAAAACTTCAGCTTTTAGAATAATGTACTGAATTCGCATTTAATTGGTTGAAGTACTGTAAGTCAAAGTTTAGTTTCTGCAAAATTTCCTTCTTCCTTTTTAAGTATTCCACCAATTTTACTGGTTTCTATGTTACCATTACCTTATTATTATTATCATTATACAGTATGTATATAGTGCTAAAAGGTTTGCTCAGCGCTTTACAATATAGTGGGGGACAGAACATGAGACAATACAGTAACAAAACAGAACACGAGGGGGCCAAGGGCCCTGCTCTTTCGAGCTTACAATCTAGGAGGGAGGGGATAGTGGTACAGGAGGAAGTGGCTGTGGGGGATGGAGTGGTAGGAGAAGTGGAGGAGATCGGCTGTTAGGTGAGGGCGGGGTAGGCTTCCCTGAAGAGATGGGTTTTCAGGGTGCGCCTAAAGGTGAGGAGGGTAGGTGACAGTCTGATGGATTGGGGTAGTGAGTTCCAGAGGATGGGGGAAGTCCTGGAGAAGTCCTGCAGTCGGGCGTGGGAGGTGGAGCACCTTATGCAATCAGTGATATATAGTGCAAAACCAAATGATGAAACTCTCTGGAATTATTATCATAAGTTTTATTTATTAGATAACTTAGGAACTGAGGTTGGCAAGTGTACTACTAGCACTTGTTGGCAATACGTCACAAATCCAGAATTTCTTTGCAATGAGTCAAAATGTTTTTCCCCAAGTAAATGAAGTAAATGAACAGAGCAAATGGTGTCTGTAATTATGTATTTCATTTTTAAATCATATTGAAAAATAAGTGTTGCTATTTAAATGAAGATTTAAAGAGTACTTTTGGTCCATGCTGCAGGTATTCATGTTCACGGGAAGAACATAAATCAACTCATACCAAAAACAACTAATTCAATTAAACTGTTCAACAAAAAAATTAGGGATAGATAATTAAAGGGTACGTTATACCTGAGTGAACTTACAAGTTAGTATTGCATAGTACTTAACCACCTTCAATATGAGCAACAGCACAAAACATGTAAGGGTGGATAACTACTGTATGTGCTTTTTGAAATAAAGTCTACTGGTGCTCAGTCAAAAGAGTGACACAACCAATCCCTCTCCATTCCTCCCCCTGCTCAGATGGCTATGTATAATATTCTGATATATAGGGACAGTCAAAAAGTGGGCAGCAGTTGCTAAAAGCCCAGAAAGTGCAATATGCTCTGCAAACATTGTACCATAGAAGCACCATTTATAAAATGTTTATTTCTTCAAGGGAGTACAAAGATCAGATTGGGGGTTGTTATCTTGGTAAAGCTTCACTTTAAGGGCTTGTGCAAAGGGGGGTTGTTTTCCTACATTTGACATGTGTAGTGCCTTCCTATAGTTAGGCTGCTAGGCTACATTTCGTTTTTGGCTCCGCTGCAGTCTGTGGAACTGTAATCTTTTTTTTTTTTTGTCTGGTTAGGGTTTCCTAGCTGGGGGTTTGATTTCTTTCACCTGCTTCGAGGAGAAGCTTCCAGAATATAGGACAGGGAGAGTCAAATGTCCAGTATGAATATTGAGCATGCCCCTGCCAATCCCTGGAAGGAGGAGTCCAGGAGGTGGCTGGGAGGTGATAAATGTTTTGGAGGCCTTTCCAGTTCTTCCTAACAAAGAGGGCTCCTGTTCCACTGGGGCTGCTGCCCCTGGAAGGCAGCTACACTAAGACAAAGATTGCAGTCGGGGTCTCAGCAGGAGCAGGGATGAGGGCTTGGAGAAGATTGCTTATAGATTTTTTTGCTGGAGGGCATTGTTCTGAAGTCTTGGTCTGGAGAAGGATCTTTATCTCCCTCACTGAGGATCTACCTCTGGAGGCTGTGTAGAAGATAGCTCTTGGGACATTGTGAGTACGACCTGATTAGGGATTTTAATGTGTGCCTGCTCCTATAAGGAGTTTCTGCTAAGAAGCTTGTCTTTCTATTGATTGCTATTACCGTTTTGGAATATCCTAAAACCCATGAATTTATCTCCTGTTTCAAGTTAGTTAGCAATAAATTTTAAAGAGACATCCTCTAGACTAAGCCTTTATTGTCGGTGTGTGTGGAACTGTGCTTGTGACTGGCAGCCTCTCTATTATAAGGGGGACCTGGGCATATTCTCAATTGCCCCTCCGGAGGTGAGCGCTACATATGCATGTGTAACACACATCAAAAGCAGACCAGCAGATTCCCGGTTGTGCAGTGTGGATCACAGTTCTGAGCCTGCATTTGTCCCACTTTGACACAATATGCCCTGCTCAGATGCATGTGCAAGTCAGAAGCTGCATTTTGTATTCAAACGTTTAAAAACAGTTCTACATTTAAATGGAATAAGCATCATTTGAGAGCAACTGTGGTCTACACAGTCCTTAAGACACATGAAGGTGGGACACACTTACATTGTCAGAGATGACATGTGTTGATTTACTAAAGGCAAATAGGCTGTTCACTTTGCAAGAAAAGTTGCACAGTGCTAGAGAATGTTCCCAAAAGCTTAGAAAATATGGTAAAATTTCACTTTGCACAGAATACCCGTACATGTGCAAGAAAAATTAAACAAACAGCGTTTTTTACTTGCACATAATTAAATGATGTAAATCAACAGAGCTTCACCTCATTCACTAAGCTCTTGGAAAATTTTCATAGCAAAGTGCAACTTCACTTTCAAAGTGAAGAGCCTATTTGCCTTTAATAAATCATCACCTGTGAGTTACTAGCCTCATATACTTTTATAACCCAAACATTTCTGAAAGCTATTAAGATTTTTAGTTTCTCGTCTCTTGGGTGAAAGAGTCATTCTGAAATGTGTTCAACATGAAGATTTTAGCAATTTGGTGCCTTGCTCTTGTTTGACATTTTGAGACTTATTTAGCCTTTAACAGTACACTCCTTCATTTGTGCTTACAGGGGGACAACTGTGGTGTACAACCACCAAGTCTATTGCTGAGGGCGAGGAGTTAATTGCCTTTGTTGTGGATTTTGACTCAAGGCTACAAGCTGCCACTCAAATGACTCTTGCGGAGGGGATGTATCCAGCGCGCTTGTTGGACACCATACAGCTCCTTCCTCAACAAGCAGCTATGGCTTCTATCTTGCCTACAGCCATTGTCAACAGTAAGTGGAATATGATGCACTGATTCTTTGGAAATTCTGACATATGTTTCAAATACAATGTGTCATATATAAGAAATAAAATGAAACTAAACTCTACTTTATGTATACAGAATTAAAGAAATACCTCTTGCTATTTTTAAGTTGTATAATTGGGCAGATATAAAGAGTTGGATAGCTTCTATTCACTAGCTTTTTTTAGATACTGTATATTAATTGTAATGTATGAGTTTCTGTTTTTATTGTATTTTTGGTTTTTGCAAACCATTTTTGTATTTAACTTTTCAAGGAAATTTTTCAGTTTCAGTTTTACATCAGATCGGGAAATGATTATGTTTATGGTTGCTACTTGGCCTACTTGGGTTTATTCTTGGACAGTTGCAAACTTAAGTTTATAATGTAATTTAAGCCCTGAGATGCATTGAGCATAGCTTTGGTGTAAATATAGGCCCAATAAACATTTTCGGTATATGTCATATATGCTGCAGTATGTCAATAAACATTAATGCATCCATTTTTGTTTTCTGAGCTCCTCCTGTGCCAAAATGCAGCTACTCCTCTGTAAAATTACACTTAGAGAGTCTGCAAGTGTCATTGAGTAATACAGTGTAACAAATGTATTGTTATAATGTATTTACATCTTCATTAATATGTAGATCAAAGGTGTGACCTATAAATGACTTCAAATATACCGTACATTCCTTCCCCCTGAACTTTTATTTTATCTACATTTTTTTTCAATTTTTTTCAAACAATATTTCATATTTTTCTACTTTTCTTTCATTTTCTTTGTTTTTTTTCAGCACTGCATAAAAATGCACAAAATTAATAAACCTTTATCAGCAGCATTTTCTCATGCTTTGTTCCAGAAACATTATTTAGTGTCATTTTAAACAGAACAAATCATAGAATAAAATGTATGCTGTTTATTTACAAATGAAAAACAGCATTAAATTGGAGATCCACCCAAATAATACCAGCAACTGCAGGAATATAACAAGCAAAGCAGTCTACTGAGGAAGATGAATTCCACGGCAAAAATTAGAAATGGTGTCTGGTGTCTAAATGATTTTTTTTCTTGCCTGGTGTGAACCTTTTAAAAGCAAAAAACAAGCAGAACCGTTTCAGTTGTAGGCGGCTATCAATATAAAATCTAGGTACTAAGTCTGACCTTTCTCTGGAAGCAAAATATGTGAAAGATGTTTGGGATTTCATATTGATTGATGTCTGTTCTGTGCTGTAAACTCCTATAAAACAGGTAGAAATAGTTTGTGGCGCCAGTAGTGTCCAGAACACCATCTCACCCAAATGAAGGCAATCTTATTATTTAGCGGTGAATATGATGATAGGATTGCACTAGGATGGAAAAATAGCAAATAACAGCAATAATAGGAAAGGAGAAAGTTTCTTTGGCAGATTGGTACAAAGTGCTTATGCCCTTCTAAATCTTTCCTAAACATGGCAATGTGAAGTTTTAGGTTTTTACTAGAGGTCTACATATTTCCATTTTGACACATTTTCATGCATGAAAATGTATGTCCAGCAGAAACCAAAGTTTTCCTTTGTGACTGGACCATTACTAACATATAAGACTAACATATAAGATACTGAACATAGAAAGTGAATGTCAGAACAAACACAAAACTGGACAAAGATAGCATAAACAAAGTGTGACTAACCTGTATCAAAGAGGAGAGCACAAAATATGTGTATGCTCAAGTGAGCATTCCAAGTTTAATGTGAGCTTGTTGGTATCAGTCTCCTGAAGACGCACTATAAATCATTAGAGCTCCTTCTAGCTGCAGCCTAGTAAAAGCATAACTGGGAGGTTTATTCATTTACTTGCTATACATGCAACTGATTTAATCTCAGTTGCGGTTTGTCATTTAAATTGTCGTTTAGCAAGAAAAAAAAAACAGGCATTCAGCAAGATTGCCTCCTGAATGCCTAATTAAGCCCAGTGATGGGTGAAACACGTTAGCGTGGCTTGAGGAGGGAGGTGTGCAGTGCAGTGTGTCCTGTATGTATCTTTGCCTGCTCATATAACTGGACTGCAGTTCCAGGATGTCATCATTCCCGTTATTTGCAGACAGCTGCTTAGCCAAATTCTGAAAAGTGATCCACCACAGATCGCTTTTTAGACAATCCGAAAGTGTGAACCTTGCCTTAATATGTAATTCCAGCAAAAATGAAACAAGTGCCGAGAGGACTATGGAGACTGTTATCTTTCTGAAAATATTAACTACCTGGCTGTCTTTTGATCCCTTGACTACAGTTCTTCCTGATCTCTACTGAGCTTTCTGTTGGAGAAGTCAAAGTAAAGTCTTTATTTTCAGACTTGTTCCAGGTCAGTGACTCACAAAAAGGCAGCTAGCTTCTTCTCAGGGTGATCATATACATATGGATTTGTAATTGATCTGATTGATTGCAAGTAAAAGATTAACTCCTCCGTGCCGTCCATACGCATATATGTGGCCTCTTGGTGGGTGGGCCTTAAAGTGGAACTACACTGCACTAAACTACCACAAACCGAAAATGCTATTTAATTCATTGTTAATATTCAAACCAAATTTCCCCATCCATCCATGTCTCCATGCTTTATTTTGCTAAGAAATCACCCCCTAGCATTTCTGGCCGTGGCCATCTTTAGTAAGGGCAAATGATTCATGTAGCATTTACTTCCTGGAATCCTTCTGCCCTTAGCTCGGGCATTGACTGAGCTGAGAACCCTCTCTCCCCTACTGAAGACCCCTGGGATGTATGGCATCATTTGCCTAGGGATGGAAACTGGATACTATTTCATACATACGTGCGTGGCTCCTTTAGAGGTTAGCAATGGCACTCTCCATATCGCTCTCAGCAAATGTTTTCTTTAACCCTTCCCAACTACTGCCAGGGCGAAAATATATCATTTTCTAAGGATGCCTATTTTTAGTGTTGATGCCTTTCTGTATAACAAATGCTAAAAAAAAACCTCTACGATATAATGTATCCTGCAGGGAAGACATGGAATACTCTCTTCTCCTGTTGCTTGTGATGATCTTTGCAGTAGTGTAGAGAAACCTGAAGAACCTGCAGAATCCAAGACTTCCAAGACTGTGGATTTCCTGGCACCCCATTGCATGCCGTGGATCATCCCGCCATCTCCTACATTACTACAGGAGAAAGTAGTGACATAGAGACCAAAGGGAGGAACCACAGCATGCAGCAGGGTGACAGGAGATCCAAAGTATTGGAAGTCTCAGATTCTGTGTCATCTTCAGCTGGTGGTTCCACTTTATTTCGGCAGAGATCAGTGGTGTGGGAAATTAGTATTCAGTGTCTCTTTAGAGACACATGGAGGCTGCCATTGCAGAGTACTGCTACTTGCCTGGATGTCATGTTTACTCTCTGGCTTCAATACTGTGACTCACTGACCTGGAACAAGTATAAAAACAAATTTTGTCTTCTGATCTGCATACTTGTTCTGGATCAGCGACCCAGAGAGTACTGAAGCCACTGACTCATCATAACAGTCAGGCAAATGAAGGTCAGCAATGGCAGTCCATACATGGCTCCCATTACCATGACAGGTTTATTTGAATCCAATGGCAGACAAATCAATAACTTGCTCAATTAAGAAACCTTTGCTTGTCCACACACAGGACAGAACCTGTGACGATGTAAATATGCCCGCAGCCATCACTGACTTGTCTTTAGACAAATAAATTCAAAACACAGGCAGTATAGGAGGTGCCACACCATATTAGTTACAATCACAAAATACTTAAGCACTTGGGCTATTAGGCCACCAGGTATCAAACAATGACAACAATACATACATCATTTTATTTTTACATAATATAACAAGATGTACGTTAAAAAAGGAGAGGAAAAAGATTCTGAATCATTGTTATAGGTGTACCCAAAACAAATATCCAGCCCTTCAGGTTAAGTCAAGATAACCAATTGCTCTGACCAATAATGGACCATGTACAGTGCTATAAACAAATGAGTACTATACAAAGAGGGAAGAGAAAAGAGTCACGAATGAGCTCAATGCGTTTCCCGGTCCAAGCCTCTTCATCAGGAGTGGTACATATCAGAATATATATTTCAATCCAAGATGCATGTGGTTATCCAGATGTAACCATCAGCCCAACACCCCCCAGAGGGGGAGGGACACCCTTGGAACCATGCGCCATCCCCAAAGTGAGACCACTGGAGCATATTTGGACAGACTGGGCCATCACCTCACCAAACTCCAACATGTGCATTATCCCCTTCAAGATAAAACAGATTAATAAACTCTTATCATATCAGGAAGATGTTCAAACACCACCACCATCAGGGACATACAACACGACCAGAGGAAAAGGATTTCAGTTTTTTAAGTGGGCTATAGAAGAGTCGAAAACCAAAGGCAATTTTTTTTTGACTGTCTGTTAGTTTTTTGCATCATTAGTGTGCCAGCTGCAACACGTGAGTTTCGTCCTGCAATCGAAAGTGCTTGATCCAATATGCTGGAACAATTGTATGCGCCATTTTTTTTTTTTTTTTGATCTACAGAATGTTCATCTATGGCCGGCCTTATAAAGTAGTAAAGGATCACGAATCTGGAGCCTGCACCTTTTAAGTCACTGACATAGAACAAGCATGCAGCACATGATGTCTGCAAAGCCAACCTTGTTCCAAGTTCGTGACTTGTAGCAACCAAGATGGAGATGACAGCCTCAGACCTTGTACCCGTAAGAGCAAGTCTTAGGTTCCATATTTAAATCCTACCAGTTTTACTCTAAAACTGAAGTGAACCTGTGTGGATATAAAAACCTTTTTTAGGCTTTTATTCTTTTTCACCTAATGATCTGGCAAATAAGTCTGTAGCTTGTCAACAGAACAAGCTCTCCTGCAGATATATCAGTTGTGTTGAGACAAACCATTTACCACCAACAGTGGAGCTTACAATGATCAGCTTTGATTTATTTATGTAAACCTCTATCCCAAAAGGAAACAAAACTGTTGCTGTAACTGATTATAAAGCGGTAGCTGTAGTTTGGTTTCAATTTGTTAGTGTATCTAAATCTGCTAGTACATCTAACACTCCCCACCTTCCCAGATTAACAATATTGCTGCCCAAGGATACCCCTGTGCGCCTTCATCCAGAGTGTGGCCACTCTAATGCAGGAGGTGTGTTACTGGCCAGATCACCAGGTGAAAACAGAGGAAAAGAGACTAAAAATAGAAAAAGAATGCAGCCACCACGTCTAATGATTGGTGAGCTGCAATATATGACATTTATGGTTTTGGGTTTAATACTGCTTTGGTGTGCTTTATTATGAAGATGTTAACTTAAAATCTAATTCCACCTACTTTTTAAATAATTAAGTCAGCCCTTGTTATAGGTAGAATCGAGCTACAATGTTAGAGTTTTAATCTACCTCCTATACACCTCACTACTGGTCAGGGAGGCCACCAATCACATTGTTGGGACAGTCGTAAAATAGGGATAGGTCAAACATCAGCTTCCTAACCAATGTGCGCATTCGGCAAGTCCAATACTCTTGGGGTTCCAGGGTGCTTTAGCAGATAGCTAACTCTACATACTGTACAGGCATCTCAATGTGTTTCCTTTTGCATCCAACTGATTTTTAGCTTTAACTTTACTGCAGGTTTTCTTTAAATAGCTCATTTTTTGCACAAGTGTGGGTTTGGTATGTTGATGGTATATAGATGTAATAGTCCTTTAAAGCTGAACTCCAGGCAGATATAAAAAAAAAATCACTGAATCTAGTTATGTAGTCATTATAAGTCATTAGGTGAAGGCTATTAGGCTTCAGTCATCCCCTGTACAACAGCACTTGGGCTGCAGGAAAGCAACAGAAATCAATCATGTAATTCCAAAAACAACCTCCTGCGCTTAAATGGAATCCTATCCTTCAAAAGCTGCCGACACCAAACTTATACCCAAGTAAGTGAATGATCAATTAAAATAAATAGTGTAGCGCTAATAATACTAACAAATTACGTGTTAAAGTGCACAAACTCTATATACATCCCCAACATATATCTATCCAAGGTGATAAATCAATACATAAATAATAAAATAGTTGTGTCATACGTGAATTCCCTCACGGGGAATATTTAGTGAAAAAAGTGACAAACACACTCCTATTTGCACATTGTGAAACAATATGTATACCGGTGCACAAAATTAGTGAACAAATAATCAATTCAAAAAGTCCAAAATGATATAATAATAGTAATACGATAATTTGTGATGATCCTCACACTTCACTCTTCATGCAAGAATATATAATGTGCCGTATACGTGGTACACACGTGCCAATCCTTTACCAGCCAAAATACCCCCTCACCTCCTTCATTAGACCGCACAGGGTCAACACGCTTTGAGGATCAAGTGATCCTATCAGTATGGGTCCCTCTCAGGCTTTCCCCTCACGTCTCCAGCCTCCAACAGACTAACAGCCAGCTCCTCACAGGATCATGATAAGACACAAACAGAGACCCTCCATAGTGCAACCGGTTTTTATTGCATCAAATTTAAAACGACAATAAGTATTACACTCACATTTGCCCACGAGTTTTCCAGCTTTTTACCACATGCTATGGGTGTACTGCATGGGTGTACTCAACAGGGTGATCCAATATGGCCCCCACGCCGGAAATGACGTCACCGGAAGCTCCTCCCCACATGCACCGACGCGTTGCGCCACGCCCACCTCGTGACTTCATCAGGGTTGGCACGTGTGTACCACGTATACAGCACATTATATATTCTTGCATGAAGAGTGAAGTGTGAGGATCATCACAAATTATCATATTATTATATCATTTTGGACTTTTTGAATTATTTGTTCACTAATTTTGTGCACCAATATACATATTGTTTCACAATGTGCAAATAGGAGTGTGTTTGTCACTTTTTTCACTAAAACATTCCCCGTGAGGGAATTCACGTATGACACAACTATTTTATTATTTATGTATTGATTTATCACCTTGGATAGATATATGTAGGGGATATATATAGAGTTTGTGCATTTTAACACATAATTTGTTAGTATTATTAACGCTACACTATTTATTTTAAGAAATCAATCATGGTTATGCATATTCATACAGAGGCAGGAGTACAGGGATTACCTCATCAGTGTGCTGCTGCTCCTTCATTGTCCAATCAGAGGCTGGAATGGATCCCCGACCAGTCTGTATTGCTTAACTGTAGTTTAGTTTGCAGAGAGGTCTAGGACCTTCCTTTGCTTTCTGGTAGAGAAGCTTGGATCACAAGACTGGCTGAACAAAGTTATAAATCCCTTAGCAGGTAAAACAGTTGTTTGCCTGGAGTTCAGCTTTCAGCTTCACTGATTTGTTGCTTTTTTTTTCTGCCTTCTTTGCAGAAGACATATTCCCCTGCAAATCTTGTGGAATTTGGTACAGGAGCGAGCGCAACTTGCAGGCCCATCTCATGTATTATTGCAGTGGTCGCCAGAGGGATACAGCCCAGCTTCCAGAGGATAGTGAGGAAAGCACGCCACAGATGTCCAGTATCTGCCCATACCCACAATGCACCAAAAGCTTTTCTAATGCCAGAGCACTGGAAATGCACCTAAACTCCCATAGCGGTAAGTCTGTTGAACGAAAAGAATTCTATCAGATGTTCTTCTCTCACGTTAAGGGTTTACTTTAGAGTTGGGGATGGTGGATAGTTTAGGATACTTTAAAGGAACACATGCTTTGCCCATCTAGTTGCATATACCTTTCCTTTTCTTCCCCATCTTTCCATTTGGCAAAAGAGGGTGAACTCTCTCCCATTACTCCCATTATTTTTTTTTTGACTATTTATTTTACAAGCACTTGCACCGCATGCGTGTTTGTTATTTGCCAATTTATCGAGGCCTGCCCTAACGTTGAGGAGAACCTGTGGCCTTCACAAGTCTTTTCCCTCTCCCCAGCTAGGGGTCTCTCCAGCTGATCCCTAATTTAGTACTTGGAGCACTGGTATCCCTGAGGACTGAAGTCTGTCTGGTTTTGGCTAGGTGGACTAGAGTGTGCCTTGCCCTTGTCAGAGTTCTTGTACCCTGGGATGTTCAGGGATTGAAGCCTGTCCTTTTTGGACGTTGAGCAATTCTGTACCTTCATGCACTTTGTGTGCTGTGATTTTAAGACACACTTTTTTTGTTCAGAGGGCTAAAAAGTACCCAACAATGTCAAATCAGGGTGGGGAGAGAGACCTCAACCCTATGTAAAGTCCAAGTCACAACATCTTTGAAAAATGTGTTTTGGTCTGGTGTCTTAATGATGAATTACAGGGCAGCTTAGAGTTTCTGGTCAGTTCTGGCCAGTTAGCCATCTGATGTTAGCAATGTATTTCCTTTGTGATAACAGGTATCTATTACATTATAGCACAGTGGTAGGGACACCAGGCATGTCCCCTTTAAAAGAACCAGTCCTGGAAGCAACTTAATGGACAGCAGCTCAGGGATAATATTGTTTTCAGAGTGTCAGTCATTATGACTGCTAATGGTGCCCATACACTAGTGGAAAATTGTTGAAAATCTGTCAGTTGGGCAGTTTGTTTGTTTTTTTATCCAGTTAATCGGAACACATAGAAAATCACTCTTTGACATTTGTGAGCCAAGGAATCAAAGGAAAAGTTTGGAAAACTTCTGCCGAATGCATGATAAATTGAAAGGTTAATGTGTTTCTCACTCATTAAAAATCAAACTGTTCGTACTGCACATTCGTGACAAAATGAACGAAAAACTGATTCATTCGTGTCCATTAACTGATTTATCGTTGGAAATTCGGCCAGTACATGATGGCAATATCGTTTTCTCTCACGACCAAGTGTTCATTATGCAAAAGCGAGTTTGAATGATTTTTCGACTAGTGTATGGCCAGCATAAGTCATTATGACCCCTTATAGTTTTGCTTAGCCTCATCCACACTTAAAGTGGTTCCAAAAGCAGCAGGTTTTTACCTTAATGAATTCTGTTAATTAAGCTAAAAAAATCTGCATGCAGCTTCCACAGCCGCCCCCAATACTTACCGGAGCCCAATCTTGATCCAGCACTGTACACAAATGCAGTGGCTCTCTCCCGCCCCATTGGCTCAGAGACAATAGACACACAAAGCCATTGGCTGCGAGTACCTACGAGTGCATGGACACACAAAGCCTGGGAGTGAGCCTGCTCTGGTACCCCCATAGCAAGCTGCATGGGACACTCAGCAGGAGGGAGGGGCCAGGAGCATTGCAGGGGACCCGAGAAGAAGGAGATGCTCTGCGCAAAGCCATTGCATAGAGCAGGCAATTATGACAAGTTTGTTACTTTTAAACAAACAAACAAAAAAAAATCTGCCTTCATTATCACTTTAAAAAACTAACAAATTGTAGCCAAACTCCGGCTCACACTTTATAGTCAGTAACAGCAACAGTTTGTTTTATCTTTTGGGATAAAGGCTCTACATGAATAAATAAAAGTTGATCATTGAAAGCAGCCCTGCCAATGATAAATAATGTGTCTCAACCCTCTGACTGCTACATCTGGAAAGAAACCCTTAACAAAAAAAGAAAATGAATTCAGCCATCACACCTAATGCCTGGTACTCTGCAATATAATAAATGTTAGCTTCTGGGTTTAATGCCACTTTAAGAAACCACGCTTAAAAAAAAAGGTGACTTGACCTGGCAATGTGCAAATGCATTCAGTTTAAATAGTTGTTTTTTTTTTTTGTGCTGAGTAGTGCTACATGACTTGAGAGCAGCAGTCCACAAAGTGTTAACACTTTCCTAATACTTTTTGAATAAGTCTGCATTTGTGAACCATATAGAGGTGGTAGCAAGGACTATTTTTGCGTTACCCAATCTTTAGTTTGTTTGTTAGACCCTTTAATAATCAAAATTCTTTGATTTATTTGGAGAAAAAAAAAAAGCCGAATGGCAAGTTGTTCAGAAAGCCAGAAGTATTTGGAATGTTTTGTGTGCGATAAGATATTTTGTCTGGTTTGCTGATAGATCAGCAAGATTTATTTTTGTATTAACATAATCCTGTCTTTTTGCAGGTGTTAAAGTTGAAGATGTCTTTCCTCCCGGGGCCAGCCTGAAATGTACAGTGTGTAACTACACGGCAGAATCTGTGATTAACTTCCACAAACACCTGTTCTCTCATCTTACTCAAGCTGCCTTTCGATGCAATCAGTGCCATTTTGGCTTTCAAACTCAGAGGGAACTCCTACAACACCAGGAGCTTCATGTCCCTGGAAGTAAACTGCAACGAGAAGCTGACACCGAACACTCTCCCGGTGCCAATGAAGCAAATGCACAACAGACGCCAGAGCTGCTGAATAAAAATGATCTTCTACAAAGCCAAAAGACTGGGTTGAACAAAGATGCAAGCTCAGACAGTGAACTGGAAAAGAGTGAGAAGAAGCCACATCCTTTTCTATCCAATCAGCGGCTAGAGACGGGCAATAAAAACATGTTTTCCTACACTAAAATAAAATCTGAGCCATCAAGCCCCAGGCTTGCATCATCTCCTGTACAGCCCACTCTTGGTCCCTCTTTCCCCATGGCACCTTTTCTATCTCAATTTGCTTTTCCCCATGATATAACTGTGGTTCCTCAAGCCTCAGAAATACTGGCAAAGATGTCCGAACTGGTACACCGGCGGCTACGACACGGCAGCAATAGCTACCCCCCTGTTATTTACAGCCCCCTGATGCCAAAGGGAGCCACTTGCTTCGAGTGCAATATAACATTCAACAACTTGGACAATTATTTGGTACATAAGAAACACTACTGCAATAGCCGATGGCAGCACATAAGCAAGTCAACAGACTTTCCCAGTGTAACAGAGAAGATGCCAGAAGCTGTGAGCCCAACCAATGCTCAGAATGCGGTCAACCTTCTCAGTACAACTCTTCATTCTTCTGAAAATGACAACCAACTGCTTCAGGCCTCCTGCATTAACTCAGGCAATGTTCTAGATCTTCTGGGATCAAACCTAAAGCCAAGGGACAAAGACTTTGCCTCTGAAGTAAAAAAATTGCCAAATGCGAGTAACAATGATGAGAAAATGAATGGAAAAACAGCAGAAATTAAAAGTGTTGCACCCCCACAAATGGAGAGTGACAACAGTGACCCAAACAAAACCACCTGCGATGCTTGTAATATAACCTTCAGTAGGCATGAAACATTCATGGTTCATAAACAGTACTACTGCGCAACTCGCCATGACCCTCCATTAAAGAGATCAGCAATCAACAAAGTGCCTGCTATGCAGAGAACTATGCGCACAAGGAAGAGGAGAAAGATGTATGAGATGTGCCTTCCTGAGCACGATCAGAGGCCACAACTTGTTCAACAGCATTTTCTTCATGTAGCTAATCTTGGCAACCCTTGCACATCTGTCCAAGAGCCAGCAGAAGGCCCCGGGGACTGTTATCATCCCAGGTGCGATATCTTTCCAGGAGTCGTTCCAAAGCATTTGGAAACATCACTTTCAATTAGTAAATGTGTTCCCGTGGTGAAATGCGAAACTTCGCACTCAACCATTTCCTCCCTTGAGATGGATGCACCAATAGACCTTAGCAAAAAATGCCTAGCGCAGTCTGATCGAGTAGCCTCATCTCCCAAAAGGCTCCTGGACTATCACGAGTGCACAGTATGTAAGATAGGTTTTAATAAAGTTGAGAACTACCTTACCCACAAGCAAAACTTCTGTCCTGTGACAGCAAGCCAACGCAATGACATAGGAAATCTAGAGAACAAAGTTTTCCCCAATCCCGAGAGTGAAAGGAACAGCCCTGAAGCCAACTTTGAAAGGAGCTCCATAAAGTGCGAAAAGAACAGATCCTCAAAACAGGCCTCACCTAATGGGAACTTGTTCTCTTCACACTTAGCGACTCTTCAAGGTCTTAAAGTCTTTAGCGAGGCAGCACAGCTTATCGCCACAAAAGAGGAAAACAAAAATGCTTTTTTTTCACAATGCCTTTACCCAGGAGCAATAAAAAAAGCGAAAGGCGCCGATCAGCTTTCCCCATATTATGGAATCAAGCCAAGTGATTATATTTCTGGGTCTCTTGTAATACACAATGCGGATTTAGATCAAAGCACAAATGTAGAAAGCGAGTCTCCCAAAAGTCAGATACCTTCAAATGGATGTTCTTTATTGAAGAAAGAGTCGCTCCCACTATTGCCAAAAAACCGGGGCATGGTAATAGTGAACGGTGGACTTAAGCAGGAGGATCGGCCTGCTGTAAACTCTCAGCAAGAGAACCTCTCCCAGAATCCTCCAGCAGAAGACGGATGTAAATCGCCCTCCTGGGCACCTGACAAACCTCCAGCAGCTAATGAAAACGTTTCTCCAGCAGCCCCGGCTGTTGAGGATCAGGCATCGAGCCTAACGAAAACCGTGAACGGATCTGGAGCAGCTGCAGCCAGCGGGAAGTATTGTCGCCTGTGCGACATCCAGTTTAACAATCTTTCAAACTTTATTACTCACAAAAAGTTTTACTGTTCGTCACATGCTGCCGAACATGTCAAGTGAACAATCACATCTGGAGGTTTTGTTACAACGTGAAGTATGTTTGTTTCCTGCAGTCAGAGTAAAAAAAAAAAACAAATAAACTATAATGCTGCTTAATTGACATCCGGACAATCAGGATATCCGTACATTTGAAATGACTTGAAGATTTAAGGTGTAATTCCATAACAGTTATGCGTAAAAGTGTATTATTGGTGCCATTTTTCTTATTATTTATTTTACCAGCATCGTTCATACATTTGCATCCAGCAGCGACTCCTGTTCCTCAGCCGTTAATGTGCAGCTACGAGCTTGCCAGGGTAGTGGTCGCTGTTGGACGCAACTGTAGCTGTGGTTCTGTTATTTTTTATTTAAAGAACTTTATATTAAAGTCATTTGTAATGTTATTGTATAGTTATTGTGTAGCACATATGGTTTGCACCTGTATAGTAGATTTTAAATAATATAGACACAACATTGCAGAGAAAAAAAAGACATATTAGGAATAGCTTCAGAAGCACTTGTGTATACTGATTTCCTTTCCTACGCTGTTGCAGAACGAGTAGCTGTCTTTGCTGAAATATAGCTGACGCCTCTTATCCACGTTACAATCCGATTGTACAATTTTTTTTAGATTTCCTATCCATGTTACAGTCCGATTATGTAATCTCCTTTAGATTTTTCCAACAGCGACCTACTCTACTTGATAGGATAGCAGTTGAATGGAATTTTGTTAGGCAGGTTCCCCCACAACACAGTTGTTGGTAACTCTAAAGGAGATTGTACAATCACACTGTAACATACGTTGAAAGGTTTAGGCTAAATATACAGGTAAGCTTTGAAAGGAGGTGGTCTCCATCTCATTAGAACCAGTTGATTACAGAGTATTGGTCCCAATGGCTTAGTACACTTTCATGCATATCTAAGCATTTTCCATAGAATCGCAGAAGAAACAAAACCCGCAGTATTCAGGCTGTGCCTGTTGCTTGAGACTTGCTTGGTCGGACCCTGAAAGACACCACCACACCAAGCGCACTTCTGCATCCTAAACTGTGTATACTTAGCCTTAAAACCACTATATAACACACCTGGTATTTCCATAGTGAACATATTATCTATCCTTTGAAAAGAAATTCTGTTGACCCCCTCAAGGAACATCACTGCCCACTCTACACACAATCATAAATGGAAAATTAAAATATATGTATTTTCATTCTAAATGCTGCTTAGCAGTTAATAGCATAGAAAGCCTTTTATGTGAATCAGTGGCCAGGCTATTGACATTTAAGTATTTATATTCTTATCAAGCAGTAAAGGAACTTTAAAGCAAGCCTTCACAGACCTCTGAAGCTGCCATCACTGTGGAAGAATTTGTCCTCAAAGTTCCAAGCAGAATCACTTAAAGTGGTTCTAAAGCCTGGGTGTTTTTTTACCTTAAAGTGGAGGAGCCTAGAGCACCAGTGGGGGACCTGAGAAGAGGAGGTTCAGGGCTATTCTATGCAAAACCATTGCACAGAGCAAGTAAGTATAACATGTTTGTTATGTTCATTTTAAAAAACAAATCCAGCTTTTACAATCACTTTTCCTTTAAGTCAATCTCCGAGCAGTTCAGTTTCCCCAACAGTGACTCAGCAGCTCAGCTCAACCTGTTACACTCTTCCAGCAGTAACTCAGCAGTCTTCAAATACATAATCTGAAGACAGAGCAGGAACTTTGTGATGGTGGGCAGAGTGAGCTGAACTACAGAGAGAGCAGCTTCAACAACTTCAGTGCCTCTGCTGCAAACTTTGAAGATGAATTGCTCCACAGATTTTTCAGCTACAGAGGTCAGTGAGGGCTTGTTTTTAAACTAATTTACTGACTGTAAGCATTTAAATGTCTACAGCATAGCCACTGTAACACTTTAAAATATTAACAATGGCACAAATGTGCTAACTGTGTCTAAAACTACCATTTAACCTTTTTATAATTTTGTCACAAAATATAATTTGTAATGATACATCTCTTACCATCAGGTACGTGGGGAAAAAGTTTAATTGAAGCTGCACTGTGTGTAGCTACTCTTCCCCCTTAGCATTTCAGCAAAAAAAACAAAAATATACATATATCCATGCTCCTTTTCTGAAAACATCTCCTGCTGTATTTACTGTTTAAATTGTGCACTCAAAATTATTCATTAAGGAAAGCTGGCCACATAAATATAGGCTGGGAAGGTCAGTGCCAGTTAAGCTGCAAAGATTTGCCCTGACATAAAAAAAAAAGACTAGCTACCTATATTCATGCACATATGCAAAGAAAGTGAGGTTCGATAGAACCATAGGGCTTAGGGAGGATAACAGCACTCTCAAGTAACAAACTCCCATATGCAGGCTGTTGCCCTATTTATCCTGTACCAGCCTATATAAGAAGTGCAGAGAAATCAGGAGGGTACATCTGTGGAAATCCTCTGATGCATGAGTTTCAGTGAATTTTTGTTAAAGGAGGGCAAGGAGGGCGCATAGGGATCATTACTCACCAGCTCCCCAGAACTAACAGGTACCTTAGTCCTTTGACAAATGCCTTTTTTGCCAGATTACAAGTCCAGGTTTGGGTCTCTATTATCACTACTCTTCAACGGCCAGGAAAATAAACATTATTACTGTATTACATTAGTGATTACATTATGTTCATTTTAAAGAATATCCTATTTTTGAAAACAGACTGGTGATCTTCTTCCCAAATAATTCCCATTTGATGGCTTTGTAAACTATCACTATGGAATATAGAAACCTACATATGCCATGCAGACAATGCACTGGACAGGACAATACACCGTACACCCCGGAGCTGCATTGCAGCAATACAACCCTTGTCATCATGCCTCCTTTGCAGCTATATTTGAGCAGACACACAGATCTAGTCATTAGGCTTTGCATTTGTATGTAGCAGTCTGTTCCTGTTCACTTTTCAATCTGAAAAAAAAACCCTGTATGTTAAATGAAGATGGACATTTTTTTTCTTGTATAGTAACTGTATTTTCCTTTGCTGATGCATCTTTGTCTGAATTTTTAAGAGGAGAAAAAAAATCTTTGCTGTTAAATGCAATACTTTATAATGAATGAACAAATTACCGGAAGCAGTATTGTAAGATATGAACTGTAGACAGCCAGTTTTGTCTTTGAAGATAACTACAATCTTAACCCTAAATACAATGCTGCAAGTATGAATCAAATTCAAATGTAATATATATTTACAGTACCTATAAATGTGACAGTACTGCGACTGGTGATCACAGAGAAAAAGTTCTACTTCTGATAGAAAGAATTTCTCAACAAATGTTGTTACTATGCATGTATATGGATGGAATAAAATTCCGGCTCATTGGAAAAAAAAGTCTGTTTTTTTCACAAAAAAAGAATCATTAAAAGTATCTGTTTGGCCCTTTTTCTCAGGTTTGGATGGTGTACGGACGGTTTAAATCAGTGCCATCTTATTAGCATCATGGGCCCGTGGGCAGAGTAATGCACTGGGGCCCCTACAAGCCTGCATGAGGTGTTCCAATTAGAGTGCCCCCTTACATCAGGTGTCCTCTTCACAGCACCCATTAAAATCAGGCCCCCTATCACAGTGACCATATACTGTACACCATGTGTCCCCATCACAGTTTCCGCATACATCAGGTGTCCCCATTACTGTGCCCCCATACATCAGGTTTCCCCATCACAGTGTTCCCATACATCAGGTGTCCCCATCCCATTCTCCCCATACATCAGGTTTCGCCATCCCGTTGTCCCTATACATCAGGTTTCCCCATTAGAGTGTCCCCATACATCAGGTGTCCCCATCACAGTCCCCATACATTATTATTATTTATTACAGTTACTTATACAGCGCCATCAATTTACACAGTGCTTTACACATATATTGTACATTCACATCAGTCCCTAACCCCCAAGGGGTGTACAATCTAAGGTCCCTAACTTTCATACACATACTAGGGCCAATTTAGACAGGAGTCAATTTACCTACCAGCATGTCTTTGGAGTGTGGGAGGAAACCAGAGTTCCCAGAGGAAACCCACGCAGACACAGGGAGAACATGCAAACTCCAGGCAAGTGGTGCGGTGGTTGGGATTCGAACTAACGACCAGGCGGAAGTGCTAACCATTTAGCCACTATGCTTCTCATCAGAGTGCCCCCTTACATCAACTGCCCCTTCAACAGACCTCCTTACATCAGCTTCCCCCATTACAGTGTCCCCTTACATCAGGGAGTCCCCAACACAGTGCCCCCATACATCAGGTTCCCCCATCACAGTGCCCTCATACATCAGAGTTGTGCCCCCCCCCCTTCTCTTTGTACTCATAGATCACAAATGTTGTTCTCACCTGCAATGAAGGCAGCTTCTCCTTCCTCTCCTGCACTGAGACTGCGGTGAGTTCTCACACTCAGCGCCGGCTCTCTTCTACCTCCTGCAGGAGGGAGGAGAAAGCTGAATCTTTTCTCCAGCAGAAGTCAACCACTGCTTCTTCTGACAGCAGTGACATTGCAGTTACTCCTGACAAAGAGGACTGGCACCAGCAGGCAAATCGCCAGTGCACCCCCACCCACCACAGCGCCTGTGTCCACCCTTGTCCTGGTCCCCCATGTACCTGTGGTACCTGGGCAGTTCCAAGGTGTGCCATTTCATTAAGACGGTCCTGGGTTAAACCCCCTCTCAGTTTTATTTCTTGCTGTCTGTGTCCTAATAGGGAGTTTGACCTTCAACTTCTGAAGACAGAACAGGAAGTGAAAGGAAATCTCTCCAAATTGATGGACATTCCCCTCTTAGACGGATGTCTCTAGAACCAGTGTCCCCACTGGAATATTGCCTCTTGTCTGCTCTTCTTGTGACAACTATATTATTTTTTATTTCTTCTCACTTTCTGTCTCAGTGACAATGACCAGTGGTCATTGACCACAAGGACAAATAGAGTGTGTGAATGTTCCCAATGGGCACATTCACCTTCTCTATTTGCCCTGGACAACAATAACAATTTTGGAGGG